AATTGTTCATTCGAGGAATATGCATAAACGCAAACCCCAGAGGACAGAGTTCATTTATAATGTTCGCCGTCTGTTGATTATTCAAGTCTAGCCAAGTTTCTGTTATCGCCAACAGGTCTATTTGATTCTCAACCACATAGTCTTTCAAAAACATAGCCTTCTTCCTGATAGAACGAGTATTCAATAAAGCGAAGCGAAACAAATCGGAACGCACCGCTTGAATAGCACCGGCAGGCTGAATGGTTATAAGATTATTCAAATTAACACCACCGCTCCTTGGACGAGGTTTATTATGTCCAGCCATGCTGTAGATGGATGAAATCCGACAGGGTGCAGATAAACAGCCATGGTTTCTCGTAGTAGCTTGGCCACAATTTTCACATTTACCAGGACCAGGGTTTAAACATACATCTCCACTGATAAATAAACGAATTAAATGAAAGCCTGAAACGGAACAAGAGTGGTAGTTGATTCTCGAAGAGAAGTAACCTTTCCCACGTGCAATACGGATAATTAGACGATTGTAGTTCCACGGACAAGAAGCCAAGTTACTTGCTTTATTCTCAGTGATATCGTTGCCAAATGCACAGCTGTTGACCAAAGAAACTTCATGATAACCATCATATCCATGTTTAAAGAATGTCAAAGGCCAAAGAGCGATAAGAATAAACAGAAATCCGGAGCGGCGAAAAAGAGGTCTGCACGCCATGAAGTCCGTCTGCACTTCCCTCCTACTGGAACGCATCCTTTTGACTGGGAACGATCCGTATAGAGGGTGTCCGCTTAATACGGTGTCCGCTTAACACAGGTTTCACTGTAACATCAGAGTTATTGTAATACCTCACTCTTGTTGGCAGAAAATTATCTATTGCAACATTTCGGCTTCACTTATAATACAAGATGGCACCACCTGTAGCCATGGCATGAACCTAGGTTTTCTTCGTCAAAAGTTCTTTCTTCTAAGTTAGAATTCCAGATTAGTCGGCTTTTGCCTTTAGTCGTCTTATCATGACTGAGTCCAGGGACAATTATTCCTAATAGCACAACAAAGAAGCAAAAACCCCACAACCTTGACAAGAGACATCTTTTCAGCAACTATCTTCCATAAAGTAGATGTGCCTGGACCACCTAGACCTCTTCTTCGAAAAGGTCCCCTGTGGTTTGATTCTTGTATACAACCACCTCCCGTAAGCAACCACTCAGCCTTTTGGGTGGTCACTTACCGGAGGTTCGACTGTAAGCTTATTAAACCTGGGCCGAGTTGTTCGATGCTGGGTTAAGATAACCCACGGTTAGTGTGAGATTTGAATTCAGATTTGAAACCTTAAAAAGCATTTCAGCTTTAATTCTTTTTGTCTACAAGTTGATGATTGGAAGCTCTAAAAATAACGGAGAAAATTGTCCAAGAAAATGCTTTTGAACACAAGAAAAGAAAATCAGGGTTAAATTTAACCCCGGGTTAAGTGCTAAACTGGGCCCTGAAACCTCAAATTTGAGCTGTACTGCCTGTAACATGTACATCACTTTGTGTACTGATATATAAAATTCACTACTCCAGCGCTTCTTCTTCAGTCAGTATGAATGGTAGAGAAGTAATGGATTTTATCTAAGGTCACAATATAGCAAAGAGATTTAACCTAATTAACCATATAAAAAGCTTAAATATGTTCACACAGTTTAGCGAGCCTTCTAGTTCTTAATTAGTCCAAGCTCTTTCGGAGTTTCCATTCATGATTACTACCCATTCGAATTAGTTTTATCTACGAAAATGTCATAAATGGATTTCATGAGCACTTACCTTAGCTTTCAATCGAGCTATAACAGTGTGTTGAAAGCGTATAACGTCCTGAAGCTGTTTGTTTACAACCATGTAAGAAGGTTCTGATTCATCTGACCGAGACTCCATTTTGTAATTTGACCGCCTTTTTCACTCGATCCAGTCTCCGCGGTCTTCCCCGCGCTCTACCCAGTCTCTTCTGAAATAACCTCGTGCGCCTTCATGCGCATTGCCTGGAGGTGAACTTTATTTCTTGCTTACCAAAACTATTTCAACAAATGTCTAATTTTGGCCACGGTTTAAGAGAACCGGTGGACATTCACATCTTTAAATAAGTGAGTTGTGCATTGACTTGCCGGAAGTCAAAAATAACTTAGACATATTAAATTCTGCAGGCAGAATACTGCAATGCTGATCGTACTACGTGAAAATTATGCACTAGTCAGTGGAAAGCCCCGCACCCCCATACCCGCGGAATAGCGGGGCATTAGACCAGGCGTCCCAACTAAATGAAGCAAATTCCCCGCTATGCGGGGCAATTTCTTATGTCAAAACCTCATATTTGTACTCCGCCCCCGGGGCAATACTTGAAAAATCACAAATACACAACGTTGACCAAAATTAATTTATTTCAAGAATTGTGCCTCAAATTGAACTCTTACAAAAACTTTTTCAATGTCTTCACAAAATAGATGAAACAATCATGGCTTCCTCTACTCCTCTTGGTAAGACATAGTTCCGTGAACTTTTCTCCGCACGTGTAAATGAATAAACTGGAACACGGTGATTCAAGCAACGCATCAACACAAAACAAGTTAAAGATACACCCAAAATTGTAAATATGGCAATAACTTTCTTTAAAATTGGCTAAAACCACTCCTAAAACAGTAATATCAATTAAAGGGCTTAGCTATACCCGAACACGAACTAAAGTAAATACTAGATTCTTTGACATAACAAGTCCCAACATGCATTTGACATACAACTACATCTACAATAAGCCAGCTGGCGGTTGAATAATCCCAAATAATGGTAGTTTACACACTACTGTGTTTGAACAAATGCATCATTACATGTAGAAGTGCCCAATGTGTATATTTCAGACACATCATTTGCAATGTGTTTGAATGTCCTTTTGTATGAGAATAAATTTAACAGTTTGGAGATATCACTTTTAGGACATTTTAACTGAACGAGTTGTTGGATTCACATGTATTGCTAATAAGCCAAATTTTCATTTTATATTCTACAAATGCTTATCTGTTGCTGTCTTCACAGTCGGAACACAGCCACCTGCCAGCTGGAGCAGCAGTCAGGCCCACGCACTCAAAGTGGAACCATTCAATTGGACAGGCAACATTATCACATGCTATCATCTCCCCATATTTCCCCTCTTGACACCAACAGTACATATCATGCCTGTCTTTAGATGTTGCAGCTCTCTTTGATTTCGCTTTGGAAGTACGAATCCCTCTTCAACACCTTCTTTTTGCTTGAGCCTTTTTAACACCCTCTGCTCGTCGTTATCAAAAATCGACGCGATCCAACACAAGACTTAAAAATAAATTGACACGCTGAGCACATTATAGAAACATATTTCAATGAAAAAACAAATACAGTTATTTAAAACAACAAATAAAAAACGCCCATTGGCTCGGTTTGCACAGTTGCAACGGAAATGAAAGCAAGTGCCAAAAGACAGAAGGTCAACGCTCTAAATAAATCATGATAAATCGCTAATCAAGCATGACGAGGGCATAAACAATACCCAACTTTTTCTAATTTCACTACAAGACATGATAATATTTAGAGATTGAACACAGAATTTAATCGATGGCCCATTACAGGCATGAAAAGAATGGATTTAAATCGCACATACCTTCTTTTTGGCGGCCGCCATTTTGAAATCATGCGCTTTCCCAGTGTTCTTTGCAGGCCTATTCAAAATTGCTTCAAAAGCGAAATCCCCGCCAAAGCCCCGCTAACAGTCCCCGGTCGCTGTTATTTGTGTCTAATGTTGTCGAACATCCCGCACACTGGGGCAAAGATGACCACTAAAAACCGCTAAAATCCCCCGCTAATGCCCCGCATTCCCCGGGTATGGGGGGTGCGGGGCTTTCCACTGACTAGTGCATTAACTCTGCAAGACATCAACACGACACCGAAAGGACTCAAAACAGAGCGGGATTGTAGCCATAGACAGCTGTTTCGCCCTCGTTGGGGCAAAACCCTCACTGGTTTGTCGTTGTGGTGTAAATAGATGGCGAGAACTTTCCAATCATATTTGATCAAGCACCTCTCATTCAGATAAAAAATAAAGGTGTCTACCTTAAGTTTTGTAAATTGGCTGCTTGGCAAGAGTTTCCTTTGTCATGCGTCTTCACCCTCTAACCCGAGGAGGGGAGGGAGGGCGGGGAGAGAAACGTCTGAATTCCGAGCGTTATAACGTTTCCTAGTCTGAAATTTCATACGTCTCCACTCCCTAACCCACGCCCCCCACGGGTTAGAGGGGTGGAGACCGTATGACATTTCATACAAGCGCTCCCAAGCACGGTAAGAGCGTGGGCAGGAAAAAAATTAGCCTGCATATAGACAGGAGCCCCTTTTAACTGGGAAGCTAGCAGCACCCATACTCGTGCCTTGTCATGCAACAGCGATTTTAGGGAGGGGCCAGTCTAATTTTAAGGTATTTTCCCCGCGAAAAAAGATGACTAGTATCTCCTTCTTAGCCTTTTTTTGACGAGGCGACATAAAAAAATGGCTTCGTAGGAGACTGAGGAAAATGAAAGCTCCCCTTCTGCGGTCTTTGTCCACATTCCTGAAGAGTAAGTTATGAAACGCAAGAGACTGCTAAACGTCATTAACACTTCAAATTTTAAGTTCTGTGACTTTTATTAACTGATTTTTGGACGTCGACGATATTCTAAGTTTGCGCAAAAAAATAATTCCAAAAAAATAAACTGATCTGTGAAAACGATATGACGCAGGCACTTGAAAGCGGTTAACTACGGGGTTATGGGCTCTTGGACAGATCACTTTCTCGTTGCACGTATAAACCAAATTCAAGGAAGTTGGGGGTCGCTGCTTTTAAAAGATCTTAAAATGGTGGTTGGGCTACTGTCGCCCCAACTTTCGAGCTTGTATAAACAACTGATGCGGACACGAGTTGGGATACATGTGCAGTCGACTGATTGCACGTCCTAAATTCATAAGGCTCTGGTTGTTCAAACGTTGAACAGCGGATAGCTCTTTCGGTTTCCCTAATACTTATCCGCTGGATAGTGATTTATCATGTGGATAGCGCTATCCAACGCTTGAACAACCAGGGCTAATTTTTTTTGTTTTTCACCTCAGTTAATCAATAGAATTCATTTCCTTTTTCTTTTTTTTTTGTTCATTGTGTTTCGCTTCGCTTGGATTCATGTCAGCTATACAATGGTAGCTTAGGAGTAGGTGTATCACTAAAAAACACTGAGTCCTAACTTGTTACACACTGCTTAGCAAACCGCACCCATAATCACAAGATCACACGAAGCCATCGGCTGCTCTAGATTCACCATGGATGTTCAACAACTCTTTACAATTCTTAAAAAGGAAGCTGAATGCCCACTGTGTTTGGACACAGTCAATAAACCCAAGACTTTGCCATGCCTTCACTCATTTTGCCTCGAGTGTCTCGATAAACATGCAGGCTTCGCAAGAAGACAACTACAAGCGACAATCAAATGTCCGGTTTGTCAGACATCTTTTAAAATCCCCAAAGGCGATTCGTTCAAGAATTTGCCCACATCTTATCATCTCAACCGACTGAAGGATGTTCTCGCTTTAAAAGATGGCGGCGCACAGGCCCAGAAATGCAGCAGTTGTGATGAGAACAACACCGCTTCCTCTTACTGTTTCGTCTGCCAAATATTCCTCTGCACTGTTTGTTTTGAAGCTCATCAGCGCCTGAAGACCACAAGAGGTCATCGCAATGTTATGATAGAGAAATTAAATGTGAAAGATGTTCAAGAGTTGATCCACAGACCTGCCATGTGTTCACAGCAATATCACGAAAATCAACCGCTGGAATTTTATTGCGAAGAATGCAAAGTTCTTGTTTGCCAGAAGTGCTGTATAGTAAGCCATAGTCGACACACCATGACAGACACTCAGAAAGCCGCACAAGTACAGAAGATGCAAATGAAGGACGCTTTAGAGAAAGTGAAAGCGGAAACTGTAATTTACGAGAACGAAATAAGGAAACAAACCGAGCTGATGGACAAAACCAAAAATGAGGTTTTGTCAGCGGAAAAGAAGATGACAGATGCCGTAGAGGAACGTATCCGTGAATTACGGGAACATGAGAGGGTCATGAAAGCCAAATTTGCTGAAATTTATAAAGCGCAACAAAAACATCACGCGACGCCACTAGAAAACTGTGAGTTGGTTTTGACTCAACTGCAAAGCTGCATTGAGCGAGGTGAAAGTGCTCTAGAAAGAAACGTCAGCGCCGAGATTCTTCAAACAAATCAGATCATTGTTGGACGCTGTGAAGAACTTTTGAATGTAACAAAACCTGACATTTATAAACCACCACACGTACATTACATAATCGAAAGTCAACTGAATCCGGGTTTTGATCGAATTGTGGTCAGCAATACAGATCCCTTACTTTCGTTAGCGGAAGTGAACAATCAAGAACTTGGAAGAGAAAAAAGGGTGGCAAATTTCATCATTGTAACTAGAGATTCAGGTGGAAAGCAGTGTTATCATGAAGATGATCAAGTAAAAGTCAACATTATAACTCCAGCAGATGATCAACTGGAAACAGAGATAAAAGACACCAAAGACGACCAGTACACAGTAACATACACACCACAGTGTGTTGGACAACATGGAGTAGAGATCCAAGTTAATGGACAGCCGCTGACTGGTAGTCCCTGGGTTGTGCAGGTGATTCCGCATCAGTATCAATTTGCGTTTCAATTTGGATCAAAAGGAAAAGAGCAATGACAGTTTGACATGCCTTGGGATATTGCTGTGAATGATAAAGGCAGGACGCTTGCTGTTGCTGATATAGAGAATAACAGAATTCAGATGTTTGACTTTGATGGGAACTTCCTCAGAGAGATTGCACTGGAAGCTAA